ATGCATGGACCTGGTCATACTGATAATATTATCACCACTTTACTGATGTGTGTTATTGGTTCTGTGTTTGTTGTGTCTAATTGTCGTTTAAAATGTCTGCAAAATTGCACTCAGATTCTGCATTGAAATATGAAGTAGTTGTGAATGCTGAAAGATCCCAGAGCAGAAAATACAGCGTTTTTTTGCTATTAGTGAAACAGATATTTGCATTCATATTTTCTTGAAAAGCAACAAACAAGTTCTTTCTGGGACCTAATAAAGGAAGATAGTTTTTAGTAAATGAGGTTTTATTATTTTGTTACCGAGATACCCTTAGGAAAATGTGGACATTGATAGCTCTGAAACAGAAAATGATTCAATTGAGTCGTACTCTGAATGTGAAGAGTTTTTTAAGGAATAGCTTAATTCATTTTGCTCTATTTTCCTTTGATGTATACCAAAGAGTGATAAGTACTTTTTAAAATTTGTCAACCTACATGATAAGAAAGTAATAAATTAGTTTACTTGGTAGTATTTGCCTTCTTGGTAGTACATAAAATCAAGAATAAATGCCAGGCCAGAGTGGCTCAGTTTGTTGACCATTGTCCCATGCACTGAGAGGTTGCCAGTTCCATTCCTGGTCAGGGCTGGGTTGTGGGTTTGATTCCCCAATCAGGGAGCACATAGAAGGCAACCAATTAATGTTTCTCTCTCATCAATGTTTCTCTCCTCTTCCTTTGAGAGGGCAGGGCGGGGCGGGGCCAGCTCCCAACTCCATTTTGTAACTGGACCGTAGCCCTAACCCAACCAATCAGGTCAGCCAAGGTAGTGGCACCACCGCCCCTATAAAACCCATTGATATGTTAAATTCTTTCTCTCTCCGCCATGCTGTCCCCGGTGTCAGTGGGACTGAGCTCGGACTAGTCCGAAATAAATACAGGCTTTCTGCTATTGCATCGGATTTGGCTCCCTGGTAGTCTTTGGGGTTTATGACACTTGGGCACAGCACCTTCCCCTTCCTTCCTCTAAGCATGTCTTCAGGTGAAGATTTTTTTTTTTTTTTTTAAAGAGTAAATGTTGCCCTCTGAAGAAAGTGATTAGCAATCCTACTGAACTCAGTAAGTAGACAGGTGACAGGGGAGTGTGCTGGGAGTGAGAAACTTATGTATAGAGAGGATTCATCATGGAGTCTCAACCATCCTCACCAAGGTTTGCCATTAATCCATCAGAACAGGGCAGGAAGAGAAAACCATTCTTTTGGCAATAAGAGAATGGGTCCAGAGGTGCCAGCCATGCCAAAGGCTCAGAGAGAACCCATTTGGACATAATATAATGACAGTCACTTACTGAGCCTACCATGTGCTGCTCCTATGGTAGGCACTTTATTGATTCTCTCTAATCCCTGCAACAGCCTTGAAGATTTCCACGGGGGCAGGTACTGCTGTTTTAGGAAACACACTGCCAAAATATAACAAAAGATGTAGCAAACAGTCCTGCCCTTTGACTTAGTAATTCCATGTTTGGGGATTTGTACACATGAAGTTGTTTGTTTTAATTGAATGTAACTTATAATGAAAAGATGGAAGGGACTTAATTGAATAATTGTAGGAATAGGGTTCAAAAAATTATGTATATCTATACTTTGTGAAATATTACAGTTTTAAAAATAATAATCACAAGTATTGTATAAAATATGGGAAATGTTAAGGTAGCCAAGGAGAAAGCAATAAAATATATACACTCTATAATTTCAAAGATATAAAAATGTTTGTTAACATGGGCCAATATTGAGGAAGAATAATACAAAAATAAAAGTAGTTGCGTTAAGATGACATGATAATGAGTGAGTGACTTTTTTCTCCCAAGAAAAATTTCTCTCTGCAAAAAAATGAGTCAGTAGCAGCAATGACTATTGAGGTATATTGAGAATGGAAATTGTTTCAGAACATACCTAGAATTACTTGGTTACCAAACCTAAATTCCTAGGTTTGAGATGTTGAGATTCTGGTTTCCTTCCTTCCTTCCTTTGAGATGTTGAGATTCTGGTTTCCTTCCTTCCTCTCTTCCTCCCTCCCTCCCTCCCCCCTTTCTCCCCCCTTTCTTCCTTCCCTTCTTTCTTCCCTCCTTTTTTTCTTTCTTTCTTCCCTCCTTTCTTTCTTCCCTCCCTCTCTTTCTTTCTTTCTTTCTTTCTTTCTTTCTTTCTTTCTTTCTTTCTTTCTTTCTTTCTTTCTTTCTTTCTTTCTTTCTTTCTCCTTCTTTCCATTTGGAATTTGTAATTAGTATATCTGCAGAGCAAAAATGCAGTAGATTCAGGAAAGTGTTTGAGGCTTTGTAAGCAAATGACAACAATGTAAAAGGTATTGTCTAAATTTGCATTCGTATAAAACATGGAGCTGCTGTGATTTCAGAATAAATGTGTTTTAAATATTTTCTAAATACAGAACTGTTGCAGCCCTAACAATACTTGGCTAAGAAACTACATTTCTATGATAGGCCATTGTTACTCCTTGGAAAATATTTGGGCTTTAAAAAAGACCCACTTACCAATACTGAGGAATGTGCCCACTTTGTCCCTTCTTGCATCTGTAGTTTTTTTCTGTAAGACTCTTCTTCCTCTCTTTTGGGATATCATTGATTTTTATTGCAGGACAAAAGGGCATGGCATTAAAACTGACATATTTAAAATTCTAGAAAATAATTATTTTTCAGATAAGAGCCTGTGTTTGTGTTGAATTATACAGTCTTTTGCTGTACATATTTATTTTCATCGCTTTCTCACAATTTTTGGAATTTTTTTTTCTGTGCACTAATTCATTGATTGGAATTCCAGTTTAGAAATGCTAATTAAAACTCGGGGTCATTGGTCAATTGCATTATCAAATGTAGGAGCTAGGAAAGTTGATAAGATTTGATTAAACATGGATTTTTTTTTCTCCTTCTGTGTGTTAGGTTCTGCTCTGGACACATTAACAAGTGGCCATTTTTCTGGAATTCTGCACTCTTCCTGCTTCCTTTCATTATATTAGGCAAGGTTCCACTAGATGAGACATTTGTAGTCCTAAGACTTCCTGCCAGGGTTCAGACTTTGTATTTTTGACATTGAAGCTGTCGTTTTCCTGAAGCTATTTAATTAGAAACACATTCATTTCAGTGTACACTGGGGAAAAAAAACTTGGACAGCAGAGCCAGGCACACTGGGAAGTTTGAGCATTTGTGTAGCTGGCAGCTAAACTAATGGTTTACAGTTTAAGGGGGAAAATATCGCAGGGCATTTCCTTGCCCCTGGAAGCGAGGAGAAGCTGAATGTGCACAGCAGATACCTATTTTTAAAAGAGAGAAGAGGAAGAAAGAAAAAAGACAACCCCACTTTTATTGCAGTTGTGTATATAATTCTTTCTTCAGCTATTGTCAAATACAAAAGTCTTCTAGGAGAATAGTTCCCAAACTATGCTTCTAATATTCAAGTCTGTTTTACAGGCTCCCAATACACATTACTGCTGAGATCATAGTAAGGAGGACATTTTATATTCTGGGGAACGATTTTTGCTTGAAGAATTTTATTTGTCAAATGGTAATAAGGGGATTGTGCCCTTTCTTATTTTTAAATGTTTGAGCAATTTTAAAATGCACAACTGATGTTTTAGAAACTTCATTGCCTATCCATTGCTTCAGGATGAAAGCCTGAACTCCTTAGTATTAAATTGGAAGCAAACCTCTCCTTTCTCGTTTCTTACCACTCCTTGTTTCCCCAACCCTGTCTCCAAGAAAGCCAGCCTGCAGGTCCGCTCCCACTCTCCCAGCTGCCCCAGAGGAAAGGTACCTGGTCACCTCAGTCTGAGCCAGATATCTTATCTCTAGGCTCATAAAAAAACCCTTTGCACCTTTCAAGGATGTATCACATATATATGAATCACACTGGAGAGACATAGAGAAAAATTGCCAGTCCCTTCTCCTCTCCCTACTTCTTGACCTCCATCCCCTACCCCCAAGAAAAAAGTCGTGTAGGAGGTGGGCCTGGGGAATTTAGGTTTGGTATTACAAAGTCTGTATGGCACAGAGGAAGTCTTTGAAGTCAAATTCTAGGTTTTCCATTTACTTTGTTCTGTGGCATTGGATAAGTGATTTAAACTCTCTGTCTCCTCATTTGTAAAATGGAGATAATACCTACCTTGTATGGTTATTGTTGGATTAGGAAGATAAATTTGAGCTTCCTTATATAATGCTCAGAACATTTGTCATTGGTAAGTAATATCGTAAATGATAATGGCAGAGGAGGGGGGTAGAGAATAAGGGGAGAGGAGGTACACAGAATCCTGAAAACATAGGAAGTCAATGATGCCCAGGCTTTCAAACTTTTGGAGTTGGGTTCTGGTCTCCTGCTCAGTTTTCAATTTAGGGCCCATCGCCCTGTGAATGAAGTCATTGGATGGGGCTTTGTGAATTGTAGGGTCGTCCAATGGCCTGTGTGCAGATGGGGAGGAGGTGCTTACTGGTTGCTTTTTATGTGCTTTTTCAAATCAGAGCGGACAGTTAGATCACATCTCTTGATGACAGAAGGAAATAGCAAATAAAAGCATCATTCTATATTCAACCTTGTTAACTGCTTTTCCTATTATAATTGTGGCAATAATAGTTCCCGTTTGTACCAGGAACTGTACTAATCACTCGATGTATATTTTCTCTCATTCTGATTGCAACCTCTACCAGTTTGCTTCTAAGGTCCCACTTTAAAGATGAGGAACTGAGACCAGGCAGTTGCCTAGCTGTTATTTTAGGGACTAATGCCAGAGTGGGTTCTTCCTGCCACCCGAGAGGCTTCCAATGCTGCCTGCATTTAGAAATTCTTCTGAAGTTTCTAGGCTTGGGAACAAAATGTCACATTAGGATTTTTGTTGTGAAAGGAAATGTAACTGTGCATACGTTTATTAAAACAGTTTTTCTCCAAATAGTGAACCATCTGTAATTTTCTGTCGGAAGCAACAGACATTAAAGCAGCTGTGTGTCTCTGTTTCTCTTCACAGTGCTCCCATGCCCTACCTCATAGGAATCCATTTAAGTTTAATGGAGGTAAGTTGGCGCCTTTCCTCCCTACATCTCCCTGCTTGGCTGTTTTGTTTTGAAAAGACACAGTGTGTGGATTCACAGCTCTCCACGTGGGAGCGTGTGGAAGCAGCGCTTGGTGCGCAGTGCCCTCCTCTCAGGGGCACAGAGCTGAGTGATCCATTTAGACCCTTTCCCTGGGCTCCTGTTCCCAGTGGTTGTCCTCTCTGCATGGAGATTGTCAGTTCTCACAGGTGAGGGAGCGAAATTCCAGAAGGCAGGAGGAAAAGGTCCTCGAGCATTTAAACAAGGGAAGGGAAATGATTTGCCTTTCAAAATGATGTTTATTCTAAACTATTACAATCATGTTACATTTTTTATTGTAGAAAATGTGGTGTAAAAATATATAGAAGTATAAAGAGGAAAATAAAAATTATCCACAATGCCATTATTATAAATTCAACCAGTTAGCATTTTATTGCTCTTCCTCCTGGTCTTTATTTTATGAAAGATATTTTGTATAAATGTACTTAATTGAAATGTGTTTTATATATAGTTTTGTTATTAAATGTCACTTAATATTATGGCATGGAGATTTCAACATGTTTTTATTTATTCTCAATTAGAATAATTTTCGGTTTGCTACCTGTCATTCCACGGCTGGGATATATCATAACTTAACCATTTTTCTGTTACTCTAGACATTTAGGTTGTTTATATTTTTTCACTAATATAAGTAGCATTTCAGTGAACATCTTTATGCATAAGGTTTATCTGCATTTTGACTTAGTTTATTAGCATAGAACCCGTAATGTAGAAATGCTTGGTCAAAGCTATGCCTGATGACAGATTTTCTTTCTGCATGGCTGTACCAATTAGATAGCAGTTCTTTTAAAGGACTTATCTGGGCTTTTGTGAGTGCCATTGATTTGTAGATATGAACCCCAAGCTTTTCCCTCCTCGGGAGAGAGCTTAAATTTGTACTAGAGCAAAATGGGGTGGGAGGTGGGGGGCTTGCCTGTTTTGCACAGGAGCTAAGCTCTCAGCGGGAAAATCTAAAGCCATATCCGTCTGTGATGATGCTTTGCATGTCTTAAAGGAAGTGCTACTTCTCTTCTTCTGTTCCCTTCATTTCACGTCGACGAGGACCACCTGCTTCTTCGCTAACTGTTGCACACTGTGCTATTGTGCTTACGAAAATGAAACAAGTTGGTTATCGAAAAACCTGTTTGTTTGACATTGAGAATCTTGATCAAAATAGACCACAGAAATCTGCTCAAATTTCTAATTTGACAGGACGGCCATGTGGCTCCTACATTCTGTTAACAGTTCCTCCTTGTCATCACCCAGCCCTGAGCACATACAGTACACAGTTTATGGACTATCTTGGGTGGTGTATTTAGATCAGATTGAAGAGGTTTTTTGGGTGTTTTACCTTTGTCAAATTTGGGGATGTATTTAAAGCTCCTGTGTGAAAATTTTAAATTGAACACCTTCTAATAGGCCGTTAGTGCCAATTGTTATAGAGTTTGAAACACTAAACACCATTTGGTCTATTGGAGTGCACAGCTCCTTTCTGCCTCTCCTCCTGCCCAGCAGACTGTGCTAGCAAGGCTGTATCACATTCCTTTCATCCCTGTTAACATCAGCATTGTCCAAGTTTCTAGTTTCTGCCTGCTTTTCTTCTAGACATGCCCTAGTCATCTTGTTTAGGACTTTCTGTTTCAGCGATCAAGGTAATGCCACTCACTCTCAGCTGTGATTCTAACTAGCATGGCTCTCTCTGAACACAGGTCCAAGCGTTTCAGGTGCCGAGTGAACTTCATGTAGGTTTGCTACAGATGTCTCAAACTCAGTGTTACACACACACACACACACACACACACACACACACACACCCCAAACTACATCACTCCCTTCCAGTGTTCCTAGTCCCTGTGAATGGTACCCAAGTGGGATACACTGAGCATGGCTGAGCGCTCCTCTTCCTTGTTCTTTCTAAATTGGTACCAACTCTCTGACATGTCTCTTGCCGTGTTCCTTCCTTACTGCCTTCATTGACTTTTTATTTGCTTTTCTTGGATTCTTGTAAAGCGCTATTCATTCATCTGCTTAGCAAAATGAAAGCCTCTTAGGTTTCAGACGTTTTTCTCGGTCCTGGAGGTATAAAGGAAAATGTAAAATCCAGTTCATAGTCCCGGCATTTAGTGGGTTGACTTCTACTGCCTCACTCTACCTTTAGTGGCCCCAGTCTTGCTCTGCACCAACCCCTGAGTCTGCTCAGTCTCTTTGCTGCTGCCAACCCTGCTGTCCTCTCAGTGTCCCTTGTTAGCCTGTGTGCCCACTGATCCTAGCCATCCCCGCGTTCCATACCTTTGCATGGCTAAGCCCTGACCTTCACCAGCTCTTTCAATAAATCCTCCCATTTTGTCATCGTCTTTCACTTACTGTCCCTCTTGTTCTGGGTGGTAGCTGTTTGCTTCCCCATCCTTTTCACCATCCCTTGGAGCATGAGTTGGCAACAAGGACTTCGTTTTGTTTATTGTGGTATCCTCAGCACCTGTCAGGGCACCAAGCAGGTGCTTTCAGAAAAGAAGGATGAGTGAGTACCTGGGAAGCTGAATTCGGAGTACAATTAGCGCTCCCTAACAGGCATCAAAGTTTTCGGAGAACCCAGCAAAGATAAACAGAGTACATTATATTACTTTCATATGATTGTAAGTAACTTAAAACAAGGCCTTTTGTTAGTAAAACATGAGGTGCAAAATATGAATAATTTTTTAAACTAGCACTTGGGATAGAGTTTTGCACCTAGGTGAGTGGGTGTAAGTCGACTCTGCTCAGCCTTTGAGAGGCTTTAAGTGAGAAGATTCGGGAAGCACTGGCCAAGAAAAATCTTAGTCCTGTCAATTAGCTAGAGTAGGGAAGAATTTGCCTTGCTGAACTCCTGCATGGTCAGCTCTAAAATAAAAAGAAAAGAAAAAGAAAAATAGTAGTATCCTACACTTGAAGGCAGCTAAGACACTTTCTGAAAAAAGTAGCATTTCCTGGGTGTGCTGGGCAACCATGAACTTCCAGTCTTGGAATTTAGTCTTCTCATCGCCTCCTGTGGATTTAACTCAGACTTGGGGCACTCTAGTCGTGCTTTTTGGTTGGGTTTATGTGGTTCTTCTATACCCTTCACATGAGAGGGCTGTTTCCTGTGAGATTTCTCCCAGGAACTATGGACGGTAATACTGGGGGAGGAGCTTATACCTTAGGCCACAGAAGACCTGTCTAAGGAAGGAGCTTGGGAAGGCCCATCTCCTCCCACATTCTAGTTTTCTTACTGGCAATTCAGCAAGAGGCTTATTTTTGACTGTCTTGTTATTTTTTTCTTGAAAGCTATAGGCACCTTATTATGCCTTTGCATATGTGCCAGAATTTTTTAAACTTCAAATGAATGTGGCAGATGTTCATAAAAGTTTAGAAAAAGCTACCATAGGAAGACTTTTTAACCATTTTTATGGCACTCAAATTTGTTTCACAAAAAGAAATATAAGTTATAACCTCCTGTTCTCATTTGAAAAAAGGTTATTTTGGGGAAAGACCTAATTCTAGTCTTTAGGCTCTTATAGGATGCCCTTTGCTGTTAAACGGTAACCTTGTCATCTTAAAGAGTCTGCCTTTTTCCTAAAGTGGCACGTATATAGCTCATCATCATTCTTATCCCTCCTTCTGCCTTTTTATATCATTCTCTCATTTAGCAAACATTAATTGGATTCTAGTGGTAAGTTAGCAGGATAGCCAAGGATATTGGCATAGACCTAGTTTCTTCTTGGAGAGAATGATCATGTTAGCTGGCAGCTAGGAAATACCAAAATGTGGCCTGATTACACAGTGACTGTTTCCTTTTATTCTCTCGACCTCAGTTTAGTTTAGGAATGTTTCTGTAGCCCCATGGTTCTCAACCTTTCTAATGCCGCGACCCTTTCATACAGTTCCTCATTTTGTGGTGACCCCCACCCATAAAATTATTTTTGTTGCTACTTCATAACTGTAATTTTGCTACTGTTAGGAATCATAATGTAAATATCTGTGTTTTCCGATAGTCTTGGCGACCCTGCTAGTGACCCACAGGTTGAGAACCGCTTGCTGTAGAGCCTAAGATCGTCAGAAAACACAGATATTTGACTAGCCCAGTACCTGGCACCTAAAGAATTCAACAAAGGCCAACAATCATTGCAGTTTTTATTTTGTCAATGGCCTGAAATCCACTTACATTATTAAGTTGATGGCTTTTAAGTTGTGTTTAAGGGACTTTTAGGTTCAAGGGATCATTGTCATAATTCTCATTTCCTAGGGAAAGAGAGAACAAAATTGTTTTGTGCTTGCCCTGTTTCCTCCATGTTTGTCGGGCTGGAGGCATTGTACCAGGGATGGGTGTGGCACTTTTGTAGAACTTGATAAATTTACTAACAGTCCTCTGCTTGACCACCCCCTGCTGTAAACAAGGCATGGTCCTTTCTCTCTCTGTATCTTAGTTTCTTCATCTGTAATAGTCAGTACCCATCTTTTAGGATTATGACAAGGATTGCGTAAATGAGCCCTGTATATGTCCAGCATAGCCGAGTGTCTGGCCTGCAGTCGGTGTGCAGTAAGCATCCCTTCCACAGTCATGTTTTGAGAGCCTTTGGTGTGCCAGCCATGGTCTCATACTAGGAGTCTATAAACAATAGTGAATGTGACATAATCCCACCTTCTGAGAGGTGTATCTAGAGCAGGTGTAAACAAGTAGAAAGAATTGTAGCGAATTTGGGATGCCATAGGCTCCTACCGGACAGATACTGAACCTGGCCTTGAGGGCTGTGTCTCTCAGAGGAAGGGAATGCCTAAACTGAAATCTAACATAAATAAGAATTCAGCCATGGGAACAGGTAGCGGCATCTACAAAGAGTTAAAGTGTTGCCCATGGAGTTTTCCAGGAAGTATGAGTGGTTCAGTGTCTGATAGGAACATAAGTATGAAGGGAGAGAGGAGAGCTGAGG